AGTGAATTAAAATGTATGATATTTAAAGAAAACAATGACAATCCTTATGAAAACTACAATAATTATATTAAATTAAGCATAGTTTTTCATGCCATGATAATTTTTTTTAGGAAATAAGAACATTAAATTTCTGCCAGGCATATAAGTTATTTTGTGCATAATCAGCAATTTACCTGAGGTGGTGCATAGTCATTTTCTGGTAAAATATTATACTCAGACAAATTTTTCCTTCCAATGACCACCCCTAAAAGCAACCCTTCTAAACACTATAAGCACTTCAGAAAGGCTGTTGCTTTTGCTTTTCAGAAGTTAGAGCTATGTCGGCACTGCCGTTTCAGGGCGGGGTCATTTTCAGGACTTTCGCCCCGGATTCAGGTTTTGGCACATATGCCATGTTGACCGCCATGGTCATTTTACCCTAAAACAGTTGAGATTACCTGTGCTAAATGAAATGCATACAAACATCTATACAGGTCCTAGACTATGGTGGCACGCGATACAAATCTCTCTTCCTTTGGTACAAAATTTGTACCAAGCACATGATTGGTTAGTTATAATTAGCAGTCAGATGAAGTGACGTGATTGGCTAGACAAAAAAACCTGTTTATAAATCTCCGAGAACATGATGTAAACAAAATGCCGAAATAATACGAACGTATTTAAAAATGCTTTACTTTGTCTGCGTTATTTGAGATTAACTTAGTTTGTTCCGCTATAAAAAGATTTTCTGCACTGGAGAAGAGCTGCCATCGCGGCATAACTTGAGTTGACGCCTTGACGGCATGACATGTTCACTCTATTACAGTATTAATATTTGTATTAAAAGTATAAGTGTTGCATGTTCACTTGCTTATCGTTTAAGGTATCGTTCAACTTAATATGATTTATTTTGCCAATATTTTCTCGTTGTCTGTTATTGTTTAAAAGGTCACGTACATACTAGCTCCGTTGCACGCATATATAAATATTTACATATTTATATTCTTTCACTTTTGATTTTCACGTTCGCTACTACAAACGGCATTCCACAAATTTTGTTAACAATCAGTAAGGTTGCTTTGTGCGTTGCGAGAATAATCTACATGTTTCTAATGAATAATCTATATGTTTCGGCTGCTTATTTTTAATATTTTACACAAGGCTGCCAAACAGTCTAAAGAGAGCTATTTTGGTAGTATGACAAACCCGGAAGTTTAAAAACGTCACAAAATATAAAACCGGTTTTGCAAGTTTTCAAACGGCAACGTCAGCATGGAAGAGAGATTTGTATCGCGTGCCACCCATAGATATAGGAGACCTAGATTGCTGACTCTAATGTTTTCTATAATGCACGCGCGTGACACTCATGAGCATTCAAAATGGCGGCTCAACCGGGCAAAAATCATAGAGCGAGATAGGGAAAAACCATGTTTTTTGCATTTTACGTCGTCCTACAGCTTCCGATCCCGTTATATCACTTTATTTTGGAAAGAACTAACTGGTGTGAAGGTTTTGGATGAATATTTGTGCAATTTAAGTTTAATAAAGACGAAATAATCGATCGCTAAATGTTTTCTGAAATCGTCACAATGGTCGCTTGAGCAGTTCGAAACATTTTGTTGCAGAAAATAAAGGTTTTGGTTCTTTGGGTGCTTTTTTTCTCGAGGATCTCGGTTGGGATATTTAACAAGGAATAATTCTGTGAAGTATTTTGAAGTTAAAGCCTATTTTACTTGATTTATTTGGTCTGCTGGTGCGAAAATTCTGATGCTCTGTTTAGTGTGACTTTGACAACCTCCTTGCTGCTGCAGATGTCAAGGGATCTCAAGTCTATAGGGCCTGGACAGTGAAAAGTGATGAATCAATCAGGTTTGTAGAGAACTAGTGACAACGAAAGTTTTCAATGGAAACTAGTTTGAAGAAACTGCCTAATGTGTCTGGTATGCATCAAAAACCTTCACAGTTAGTATCTAGTTCTCTCCAAGAAACCTGATTGATTCATCATTGATAATCAAAAATAGATGGGACGGCATCTTCGTTTAGATATTTTTTGGATTGGCATTTTATTGATTGCTCTCTGCAGTCGGCATTCTTCCCTTCGGACACTCTCCCCTTGAGACAGCTGACCCAAGCATCAGCACTCTCCCCTTATGAGTAGAATTGTCTGGCGTAGCCAGAGTAAAATAATTAAGTAGGGCACAAAACGACTCAATGGGTTAACTATACACATTTGCAGGTAGGCCAGTTAACCCATTAAGTGCCACTGCTCTCCTCTTGATGAGTAAAATTGTCTGGCGTTAGACAGAGTAAAATAATAAAGTAGGGCACCTTGCAACACCATGGATTAATATAATCATCAGGTGTGAAGTATAATCATCCGGTGTGAAGTGTTTCTCACACAAGAATGAATATTTGATTGGCATTGAGTCTGCCCATTTCATTTTTTAGCAGGCTGGGATTGGTTATAGGAAATCCAATAGTGCAAAGGGAAAGATGTATTTTTGGTTCACTGATGTGAACAAAACTAAAACATTTTTGACTTTGAACAGGACAAGGAAAGTTGTTGTCAACATGCATATATAGAGAGAGAGACTCTCCTAACACAGACATCAAAACAAGAAGTTATTTTTTGGTCTAATATTCTTTTATTAAAACGGTAAATAGTTTTATATTGTAGCTGCCAAACTCAAAACTACATTTGTTGTGACGTTGTCATTACAGTATTTACAAAACAAATTCTTTTTATTCTATTATTATTCTGTTTATATGATGTAAGTTATAGACTTATAGTGTACAAATATGTGATGTGTGTGTGTTTCATAGACTTACTTATGGAAGGAAAATCGAATAACATCCCACGTCTGTCTTGTAGTAATACACTGAACACGATTCTGGCCGACTTTCAAGCATTCTTTTCGATAAAAAAACCCCAGATGGAATAGAAGCCCTAGAATTTTCAGATGAAAATACTGTATTTTGGTCGAAATAACAATGAAAGAACAAAATAAACAGTAATAGCTTTTGGAATAGTTAGAAATATATAATATTACTTGAGAAAAACTCGTAATAGACTGAAGGAATACACAGGAAGAAACTAAAGACGAAAACCGCGCGAAACTGCAGGCCTGCCCAATCTTGCCCGGTTGAATCGTAATTTGTATTAACCATGGTATAAAATTGTACTGATTGTACAAATTTTCATCCAAAACCTTCACACTAGTTAGTTCTTTCCAAAATAAAGTGATAGAACGCGATCGGAAGCTTTAGGACGACGCAAAATGCAAAAAACATGGTTTTTCCCTATCTCGCTCTGTGATTTTTGCCCTGTTGAGCCGCCATCTTGGATTTTCAAAATATGTCACGCCGGTTGAGCCGAGTCAGCAATCTAGGTCTCCTATATCTATGGTGCCACCAGAGGTTCTCTTCGCCTTGCGTAAAATAAATACGAGCGGGAATAAGGCGAAAGATACAGAACCTCTGGCAACCAGGGTAATTCAAGTTATGTCCGACCAAAATTAAAAGTGATGGGACAAATGTCCTGTCAAGTCAAATATTTATTTGCAGCCCTGTGTCTGTAGCAATTACTGTACATGACACCTGCATAAATTATAAGTATCTAAAGGAGAATTGGTATGAAATAAAAAAGAAATATCAGAAATCTTACCAGTTTTCAAAGCTTCCAAGAGAAAAACTAAATTTTCGGCAAAGGATCCCTACACAAAACAACATACAGTAGGTATTTATCCAAAAGTCAAAACCCAAACAAAAACTATTTTATAGGAAAACGAGATATTATATACCACAGACCTAGACTATATAAGACACAGTGTGAGCGGCAGGTACAAAACGCAGGTTGCAGGTTGGAATTTTGCAGGTTGCGAATTTTGCAGGTTGGAATTTTGCAGGTTGCGAATTTTGCAGGTTGGAATTTTGCAGGTTGGGGATTTTGCAGGTTGGAATTTTGCAGGTTGCCAGGAACTTTGCAGGTTGATAATGCAAACTTAAAATTACACCACTTTTTTAGTATTCTAGTATAATTTAGTTGTGCATTTATTGCAGTCTGACTCCTTGTTGGCGCCTCTGCTCTAAGGCTAGTGGCCATCACCCCCGTGAAAACATTCAAAATGACCAGATTGGCTTGGACCTACAGGGAGACGAATGTTTTGATTGTTGCGATGTGCCTACACGATGTGGCGGCGTTTATACTAGAATGTTGTTAAAAGTTAACTAACTCTCGAGTGATGATACAGTAATTGGGGACTTGAGTGGTCTCATAAGTGGGTGCAGAGGAGAGACACCTCATTCAGGCATTTCTGAATTGCCACCACGTCATGTAGGCTCCTCGCAACAATCGAAACATTCGTCCCCCTGAAGATCCAAGCCAATCTGGTCATTTTGAATGTTTTCACAAGGGTGATATCTGAGCAGAGGCTAGAAACATGGTAGTAGGATAGGCTGATATCAAAAGTGCCGACAAGGAGTCAGACTGCAATAAGTACATAATAAAATTATACTACAATATTTTATAGTAGTGCAATTTTCAGTTTGCATCATCAACCTGCAAAATTCCTGTCAACCTGCAAAATTCCAACCTGCAAAATCCCCAACCTGCAGAATTCCAACCTGCAAAATTGCCAACCTGCAAAATTCCAACCTGCAAAATTTCAACCTGCAACCTGCTTTTTGTACCTGCTGCAGTGTGAGGGCAAGGCAAGTATTTTTCAAATTTAATGTTAATTTAATTTATATAATACCTTATTAAATTCTAATCGTTTAATTGGCTGTTTATGGTCACGTGATATTGAATAGAAAATTCCATTTCCCAAGAGTGCAATGGAACACGTTCCATTGCACTCTCCGTGAGTGCAATGGAATAAAACGTATAGTACAATTGCACTCTTTGTGTTTTCGATAAATCGCATCCCTCAAAATGCTTCTCATACGAATCTGTTAGTCTGTTCTGGACTTTTGGTATTACAGTATATAAAACAAATAATGAATGTTTCTTCGTGCAATGGTAAGAATATTTTCATTCGGTGAAAGATGGAATGTTCCATTCAACTCGGCTGTCGCCTCGTTGAATGGAACATTCCATCTTTCACCTCATGAAAATATTCTTACCATTGCACTCATAAATATTCATTATTTGTATAGTATATCATATTTAAATTTCGAAGAGTAAAATTACTTGTGCTGAACACAATGTAGCATATTTATGATTTGTAGCGTATTATGAATTTTAGATTTATTATTTTAGTTATTTACTATTGGTATATTTAGTAAATATAATTTTATTATCTTCCTTACAAATATTTTATCTCCAACAGTATTTTCTAACTGCAGTTGAAAGGTGATCTCTTTTAATGCCAATTTATCATCTGTTTGAACAAGACCTGTCATCAACGGTGAAAGGAAAATACTCAGATTTAGTAATTATATGAAACACAACAATGCTTTTGACAATTTCAGGCTATAAAATTATCACTAAATTACTAGTACAGTATTTTTACAGTTTAATTATATATTGCTTCACATACCATTCAGTTTTACTTCCAATAAATGTTCCAATTTATTTTCTTCTTTGAGAGTTTTCAAAGCATAGTCTATTGCCTGTACCATGTATAAAAAAAGCTACAATAGCTCTTACAGTTGGGTTCATTGGAGAAGATGGTAAAATATCAGGGTTTGAAATAGCCGCCAGCTTCTGGCGATAGCTGGTGTTTTAGGACCTTGCTGGCGATTTTTAATTTCAAAGTACAGTATTTATTTTTCAAAGTATTATATTTATTCACCGATGACTCGCTTACAATAACACATACATGTACACAGAACTTGTTAATGTTGAAATGTTCGTTCCTACACCAAATAAAATGTATTACAACTATGTTCTTACAAATGTTGTGTAATTGGTTTACATCACTATTACTTGGCCCATGGCTATGCCCACTCCAGAACATAACTAAACTTCGCTTCAAAAATAGCCGGCAAAAATTTTCACCTACAAAAAACAGCCTACAAAATTTGAGTGAAGTGACATATAATTTTCAGATCGTTATTTCGAACCCTGAATATGGTATATACATATATAAAGTTCTATTATGCTTGGCTACACTGTACAGTATATTGCTAGGCCACCTAGGGCTGAGGACTCATCTTGCAGGGTGTGCAAATTTCCCACAGGAGAGTGTTATAATCACTATACTAATGCAACTGCCATTGAAAGTCCCAGAAATCATGAGAATTTTAGTATACACTGGCTAATGTTAATTTTGTCCAGGAAAGTGGGGGTGGATCTTGGGGATTTGAAATCCACATTGCAGCACTGTATTACAAAATTAATTTCTCAGTCTTACAGTTGATTTTCCACTTCCTCTAGGTCCAACCAGTAAGGCAGAATTACTTTCACCAAACTCACTGCACTTCAGTATCAATTCTTCTAATTCCCTATGTAGAAAAGGAATATATTTGGCTCGATGGAAGAGATTTGGAGATGATTTACCTCAATTAGCCAAAATGTGCCATAATTGTACCCAATGATTACACCTTTTATTATTCTACATTTTTACCAATTCACTGCGAAGTGGCCTGGGTGTTGAGCTGCATGAAAGCCAATGTTAGGAGATTTTAACAAATAGACTCCAGATGGCAGTCTGATCTGGAAATGATTTCACTCCCCAACCTAACTGAACTCAATCTAACCGAGGGCCATCTTAACCAAAATAGTGTGAACCTGCAACCTGGCAAACAATCCATCCTGGGCCACTGTGTAAAGTTGTATCATAAAACCGACATCTTGGTTGCTCAGGTCATTCCAAATATCAGCCTCCCCCCCCCCCCGAATATAAGCTCCTCTGTGTATAAGCCCATGAATATAGTTTACCAGTATAATAAATATTACTACTATAAATGTCAAATGGCATCTGTATATAAGCCTCCCTATGTATAAGCCCATCAAAAAATGCTTACAAATGAATATAAGCCCAGGGCTTATATTCGGAGGTTTACGGTATCGGAGACGGATTTTCATATTTTCGTTCGGGGGGTGGATAAATATCTGGGGGTGTGCTGCTGCTTGCTTTGTCCGGGCCTGGTGGCAACGCCCGGAAAGGCCAAGGAAAACGTTTAACAAAATTTGTTTTCTAGGCCTGCATGGCGAGATCTGGCAGGTACAAAACGCAGGTTGCAGGTTGGAATTTTGCAGGTTGGGAATTTTGCAGGTTGGAATTTTGCAGGTTGGGTATTTTGCAGGTTGGAATTTTGCAGGTTGGGGATTTTGCAGGTTGGAATTTTGCAGGTTGCCAGGAACTTTGCAGGTTGATAATGCAAACTTAAAATTACACCACTTTTTTAGTATTCTAGTATAACTTAGTTGTGCATTTATTGCAGTCTGACTCCTTGTCGGCGCTTTTGATATCAACTAATCAGCCTACCCTGTTGCCATGTTCCTAGCCTCTGCTCTAAGGCTAGTGGCCATCATCACCGTAAAAACATTCAAAATGACCAGATTGGCTTGAACCTACAGGGAAACGAATGTTTTGATTGTGGCGAGGTGCCTACATGACCTGGCGGCATTTATACTAGAATATTGTTAAAAGTTAACTAACTCTCGACTAATGATAAGGTAATTGGGGGCTTGAATGGACTTCTCATAAGTGGGTGCAGAAGAGAGACACCTCATTCAGGCATTTTCTGAACTGCCACCATGTCATGTTGGCTCCTCACAACAATCGAAACATCCGTCCCCCTGAAGGTCCAAGCCAATCTGGTCATTTTGAATGTTTTCACAAGGGTGATGGCCACTCCTTAGAGCAGAAGCTAGGAACATGATAGCAGGATAGGCTGATATTAAAAGTGCCGACAAGGAGTCAGACTGCAATCAGTACACAATTAAATTATACTAGAATACTTTATAGTGGTGTAATTTTAAGTTTGCATCATCAACCTGCAAAATTCCTGGCGACCTGCAAAATTCCAACCTGCAAAATCCCCAACCTGCAAAATTCCAACCTGCAAAATTCCCAACCTGCAAAATTCCAACCTGCAAAATTCCCAACCTGCAAAATTCCAACCGGCAACCTGCAACCTGTGGTTTGTACCTGCCGTGGCGAGATCTGAGACCATAATATTGGTAATTAAAATTACAAATTTAGTAGTATTAGAATAATCAAACATGAAACTATCAAATCAAAATATATATAATTTGCGGGGGTGCAAAAACTTTTGGGGGCGGTGCCAAATGCCTCTGGGGGGTGCAAATCATTTCTGGGGGGTGCACAGTCCCCAGAAAATCCGTGCCTGTACAGTATAACATATGAACATGAACATTTATTTTCCGCACAGGGGGGTTGAGGACAATGAAAAATCCAGGGGACGTGTGTAAAAATGGCCTTGGAAATCCAGGGGGAGGAGTGAAAACGACCGCAGAAATCCAGGGGGTGGGGTAATTAGAAACCAAAGGTGGGTGGTCTGTGATTAAAGCCATTTTGCAGGGGTATCTGGCAATGAATTTCTAGGGAAGGGAGTATATAAACTGAATTTCAGGGGGTTACAATTTAGCCGGTAAAAAGATGTCCTCAACCCCCTCCCGGCTGGAAAGTTTGGAAATTGCGCGGGGAAGATTTCGAAAATTTAATAGTAAATATATAGAAAATATCAAAATTGCGTGGAGAAGAACTTCCCCGCGCACAGCAATGATTCCAGCTAGTCTGGAACCCCCCATGTGCGGAAAATAAATGCAATCTGTCAATATTAAACATACATTATTTGGTTATCTAGTCCAACTAACTGTGGCACACATTCGTCAGCAAATAATCTTCGTTTTACTGCATCGTGGATTTCCTCAATTGATTTCGACTCATTTGCCATTCTTAATGCTATATTCAACGTTCATTTATTTTACTTCGACCAGGCTTCGACCAAATATGATGGTATATTTTGCAAACAATAAACTGTGCTTTGCTGTGGTGCCATGATGCTTGGAGAAAATACAAGTTGTTATACTTCATGTAAGCGCATTATTATTGACCGGAAAATAAGATTGGCGACCATTTAGGCAGCGTTTACACCACGGGCAATAGGACAGGTGTAGTGTTGTTAAATAAAAAGTTAGAAATGGTATTGTACTTACCCATGTATTATAATTATGTTTAGAAGATCAGAATATTCATAAATTCTTATTTTGTTTCATAAATAGTTCTTTAATATTCGAAACAAATTCCATATCTGCTTCGTCTGCCATCGCCATGTTTACTCGTCCCAATCTACATGCTGCACGGCATTGCCGCCCCTCCTGGCAAAATAATAAGCAAGCGAGAAAAATTGAGGAGAAAATAAGAGGGTAGGAACACTGTGGGCGTTTTGTGGGCGTTTCATCGCTCTGGGCGAATCAGCTTTCTCAATCTTGTATCACATGACTAATTCAAATCGTCATAGGCGGGAAGCAGCATTACACGTCATCCCTACGTCAAATAAAACGTTATAAAACGCGTCGTGGATACGTTTGTGCCATATATGGAAGTTATGGATACGTTTGTGCCATATATGGAAGTGTCACTGCATCCAGCTTATGACAACGGTGTTCCTACCCTCTTATTTTCTCCTTAATTTTTCTCGCTTGCTTATTATCTTGCCAGGAGGGGCGGCAATGCTGTGTAGTATGTAGATTGGGGCGAGTAAACATGGCGGCGGCAGACAAAGTAGATGTGGAATTTGTTTCGAATATTAAAGAACTATTTATGAAACAAAATAAGAATTTATGAATATTCTGATCTTCTAAACATAATTATAATACATGGGTAAGTACAATACCATTTCTAACTTTTTATTTAACAACACTACACCTGTCCTATTGCCCGTGTTTACACTGTACCGTTTTCGTAGCGTTCTCGTATTGTTCGAGAGAACTAGACTATTGTCTTGCGTTCCCTTGAGGATTAAGAACAATACGAGAACGCTACGAAAACGGTACAGTGTAAACGCTGCCTTAATATATAGCTCTCTGAAAGTCGTAAACAGCTTTTATACCATTTTCCCTAGCTAATTCCAGTTTCTTTATGGAGCTCACTGACGCAGTGACGCTTAGGTGCAACCTAACCTGCAAACGGCGGGTACACGAGATTAATTGGTCCGGTTAAGTCAGCTGCATGCAGGTTGTGGTTCTTGCTGTTTTGTTCTCCAGTGGGCAGTGGCGTGACTATTAAGGGTTGTGCCCGACAACAGCCGGGGGCTCCTTTGTTACGGGAAGCTTCTGAGCTAGGATATACGGGGTAATGATGAAGTATACGACGAAAACTAATTTCCGAGCGCCCCAACAGTCCCCTCGACTCCTCGAGCTCGTCGACGCTCTGAATGGTAGATCACAGGGCCCTTTTCAGTACACAGTTACACTGTTGTTCTTGTCGAAGAATCGATCAATTTTCTCACTAAAGACAGTATGGACAAACAACCAGAAAACGGATACCAACGGCAACGCTTTGCTAATGTAGCTATTCTCTTTGAAACTTTAGTGCTTCAATGCTTTCTAAACCATTTATTCAGACTGAATCAATAAATAAGCTTTGCCTTTGTTCTATTTTCGTATGAAAAATATACCTACACCGGCCAGGTTTTTGCTATGCTTCCATCTCTATACACTACGGACCGTTCATTATTTATGCCTCAGGGGGCAATAATTAGGTATGTAGAAAGTAACCAATAATTTGGTATGTAGAAAGGGTGGGTAAAGTAAAAGTTAACCTTTACTGAATAGGAACCCTCTGGTATATGTCCTTTATTTGAATTTTTCAAATTTCTTTACTTGAGTGAAAATAGTTTTGGAATTCAATGTTCATGTGTATGTATCAAACAAGTAGTTTATATATGAAAAACAAGCTGTTTATAATGCTTGTGATGTTACTCTGAGTGTATATCCACACCGGGCGAGCTTGAAAAATATGCCCGGCCACGGTGGGAATCGAACCTACGACCTTTGGAATACTAGCCCAATGCTCTGCCAACTGAGCTACGCGGTCAGGACGGTTCATATATCACTTACCCGAACCGTCCTGACCGCGTAGCTCAGTTGGCAGAGCATTGGGCTAGTATTCCAAAGGTCGTAGGTTCGTGATTCCCATATTGAGAGTTTTAACTTGACGTTTACGGCAAACGTCAAACCGCTAACGAAGTTTTTGATTTTACAAGTCTATTATAACAGCTTTTACACCAGTTTTGAAATATAAACAATTATTAAACTTGTGCTCTTTAGCAATGATTTAAAAGAAAGCAAATTAACTACCAGTCACGTATTCGCGAAAGCAGTAAATTATGATTTGGCGTTTGAAGTTTACGTTTGGCGTATAAATTTCATGCTTTAACGACTATGCAAGCCCTCATAGCGGTTCAAGCATGAAATTTATACGCCAAACGTAAACTTCAAACGCCAAATCATAATTTACTGCTTTCGCGAATACGTGTCTAGTGGTTAATTTGCTTTCTTTTAAATCATTGCTAAAGAGCACAAGTTTAATAATTGTTTATATTTCAAAACTGGTGTAAAAGCTGTTATAATAGACTTGTAAAATCAAAAACTTCGTTAGCGGTTTGACGTTTGCCGTAAACGTCAAGCTAAAACTCTCTAATTTTCAAGCTCGCCCCGCGCCTGGTGTGGATAATGGATATACACTCAGAGTAACATCACAAGGACACAAGCATCATAGAGGGCCCCCTATACTTTTTGCGTGAAGCGTGATGGGCTTATTTTACTTAGTCGTGAAACGTGATCGATGATTTTCTTAATCCGTGATTCGTGATGGTACGACTTCCAATCTTTTTACGTGCACGTGCAGGAAAGATTCGATTTAACCGTGATCCGTGAATGGCAGATAGAAATATTCGTGATTCGTGAATCTTCTGTTTTGTGACCTTTTGTGTGATCAGCTTTCCAAGGAATAAATACGGTTTGTTGCTGTTTTTTGAAGTACTTGATGTATAGAAGCCTGTTTTCGGCATAGTTAGAGGTTTGAAAGCATGTCGAGGTAAGTACAGACGAGTACAATGTCAATGATTCTACAATTAAGGAAGACATCCTATAATAATTCGTGAACTTTGTTTTATTTTTACGTGAATCGTGATCGCTTCGATTTTTCCGTGAACGTGAAGGAATTTTTTCAATTTTTCGTGACTCATGAAAAGGCAAAATATTTTTACGTGAAAGCATTTTGTGAAGAGGTATAAGGGGCCCTCATCATATTCACCACACAACACCAGCACAGAAAAAAGCTGTTTATAACCATACAAATCTTGAATTGCATAAGGGTTGGGTAAAAGAAAATAATACTTCGAAAATGGTTGGGTAATTAAAAAAAGTAGCCAATTTTTATTTCTCTTCGGTGCCCCCCCTGAGGCATAAATAATGAACGGTCCCCTAGGTGCATCAGTGCATGCCATTTTTCCAGGGCCGTACCGACCGACTTGGCGACTTTAAAAAAGGATAAACTTTGGCTGACATCTTAATATTGCCGAAAAGGCATGTTTACAAATATTTTTTCAACGCTAGCCTTAATTACAAATTAACCTCAATTTTTCAAAAATATTCCCGAACATTTCGTACGTTCCACAATTCTAGCAACCCTCCCTGCCGAACAATTGGGCCCCTTTCTGACTGGGGTGTTACACCCCAAGTCGCCCCCCCCCCCTAGCGGCCCTGCCCTGTATTTCTCCCTTTGTGTTTGTGTTACTAATTAGGCATGCTGGTACTTGAATTATTTTGTGTGAAAATGCCGATCGGAAGGCACTATATAATTCATAAAGCGTAGTGAGAGTCACACGCAGCAACGTCAAAAACAAAATTTCTACATCTGGAGTTCACCAAGGTATGTATTCGATTCATATATGATCTTGAATTAGTCTTGATATTAGCTTGATTTGAATACTAATTACATACCAAAACAAACTATTGAGTATTCCATATTGGCCTCTTGTCGCGTCAAGTACCTTTTATATATATAGAGATTAGTACTCTTTAGGCTATATAGGATCGGAAATGGCAATTATAGTCAGATTTATATTAAATCATAAATGCCTTTTTGTACTGCCTTACTGAAAAATATATAAGTAAGTCGAAACAAAATTAGTAATAAAACGTTAAACACGTTAAAGGGGCCCTACAGTCATTTTTTAGTCGAAAAGCCACCTTAAGTGTTGTTTACATTTTTTTGTTATTGTCGCTACTTGACATGCGCACCATGGCATGCATGCGTCTTCCGGTGTGCGGAAGTACTCATACTTTTGGATACTGCATGTAAGATACAGCCAAACGAATCTCCGTGGAGTCCCCTACTTAAGGTGGCTTTTCGACTAAAAAATGACTGTAGGGCCCCTTTAAACTGATTTTCAAACCACTGGCACTGCTCAGCGCTGCAATTGGCCGTATTTATATTAGAGTCATTATAGAAGACGTTCTGTGTAAACTGTAAAGTATTTACAAAAACTGATAAATTGAAGGTTGTTTTTCGTTAGACCGTAACCGTGTTAATAAATACAGACCTATAAAAATTCGAAACCGACTATTTTATAATAAAAATATTTAAAAAGGATAGTAAAAAATGTTTTTGTCGAAGCGTTAAACATATGTCATATATATATTGAAGTTTAATTATTTAAATATATTTTAATTTTTTATTATTATAGTTCCAGTCTTTTATAGCAACAGCATCAAAACTCAAAAGTCCTTTTCATCAAATTTGTTTTAGGCTTCGAGGACCACCTCAGTATGTAGTTTTTGTTAAATTATATTTATAAGAATTTGAGATTTTAAAGTGGAAGTCAAGTCCGTATGTAAACAAACAGTTTGTTTACATTTTGAACTGCTGTATTTTTTTAAAATATGATGTACTGTCTGAGAATATCTAACACCATTTTGGGGCTATGCTTCTAAGGCTTCTAAATGAATATGAAATAGTAAGAGTTTATGTTTAGAAAAATTCGAAACATTCGAATGAATTTGGGCAATGTTTACATTAATAGGCGCAGAACGGACTTGACTGTTCCGGTTCAGTGTGTCGACTAAGGGAGTGGTCATTATTTATGG